AAATAAATAAATAAATGCCACCCATGTGGCTGCCAAGGCCACTCTGGGCAGTTCTTCTAATGAAGAAGTGGTGGCTTTGCAGTGTAAAAGTGCCTTGTCCACACTCTCATGCTGTACTAGCTGAAACTGATATACTTTAACCTGACTAGATGGTGCATTGGACATCTTCAGATCTACTGGTATCAACAAGGAGTTGCAACTCCAATGGATGCTTTCAACCTTTCATCTAAAATGGGCTGCTAGTCAGTTGCAATTGTCCATATTTGGATATAAAAAATATTGTTGTCTGGAAGGGATAATACAACAGACTACATGGAAAAGTTCTACTTGTTGGCTGAAAGCAGCCTCAGTTAGTTGAATATTGTAGGCACTTTTAGTGGCCTTAAGTTTGTTAGAATATTTTCCAAATATTTCCTTGACAACTACCAGGTTGAACTCCTTAGGAACTTTCCTCCATCTCCTCTCTAGCTTTATTGTTGCTTCATCACCCTTTATGAACCATGGAGAAGCAACAAAGAGGGTGTTTAGGGGTGATTGTTTCTACAGCTTGAGTCACCTCTATACCAGAGCGACCAGAACATCAACAGGAACAGCAACCATTTCAGCCGGAAGACAGTTTGGAAACCAGCAGGATCCATCAGACTTTGGGGGCAGGAATGGGAGAGTGGTAGGTCCCTCTTCACCACAGAGTAATACTGCCCCTATAGAAATAAATCAACAGTTCTATAAATTGTAAAGGCTGAGAACCTGACGAACAGGATGTAGAAACTGTTTTTCTCAACTTGATCTAGCCTGCCTTGATTTGCTATAGCATTAGCTTATTGCCTGTCTTTGTCTATAGATGAAATAAAGGTAGTGATTATGAATAGGAATACTAATAAATCTCCAGGACAAGATGAATTTCCTATTGAATGGTATAAAACCTTTTCAGGTCTTTTAATTCTAAAATTGCATCAAGTCTGCAATGAGATGTAGGAAAATGGGGCCTTTGTCCAAGCCTGGCAAAGACCACACTTAGTGTGCAAACTTTGGACCTATTTTAATGAATGTTGATGATAGAATATTAACTATTTATTTATTTAT